AGCAGCGCCAGATTGCCCAGACCTCCTGAATTTACGCAAAGGGTAGATCCTCTTCAATGGAGAGCGGGTCCTTTTCTCCGAGTTATCCACCAAAGCCGAAGCTGAAGCCTTCTGAGGGGTGCTTGGGCCAACACTGACCGCCTTGCGTCCCTTCGCTGCTGCTTTTTTGTCTCGTGCAGCTCGTTTCCTGCCCTGTACCGCCTGGTTTTTCGCCAGCGCAGCGGCTTGCGATGCAAGCTTCCTTTCCTGCGCCGTTTGCTTTCTTTCCTCGCTTCAAGCCTTTTAACCTCAGCCTTGCGACACTTTTCTGCCGCATTCTTCAGCTTCTCAAGACGCTTCGCCTCTTGCCCCGCGGCGAGCAATTCTGCTTTCTGTATCTTCTCCCGTTTCTTGTCCTCCTGGTCAGCTTTCTCCTTGTCCAGTCGATCCCTCCGCGTGGTTATTGCTTTGTGTACTGTTATGTATTCTGCAGGTGCACCGCAGAGAAGGGGAACATTCGTAGCGAATACATGTGTGCTCACACTACTGGCTGTGTTGCTGCCCCGTAAACTGAGTAGTATGGAATTAGTACTCGTCGCCCTCTGCAGTAAAATTGCAACGCGCTGCAGGGCTCGTGACGGATCAGCGACGAATTCTAGAATTTGTTTTGCGACTCCCCTGGTCTCTTTCTCGGTGGGCGTGGTGCTGTCCTCTCTCTCAACGAGGTCAATAACCGGAACATGCTGAAAACGCCTCGCGAACCGCCTCTGGAAGGGAAAAAGGCCGATCTTACTAAAGCTTATCGCACACTTGTCCATCGTGACTGCCTCAAAGGCCCGCACACCACACATCAATTTGACCCCAATTGACTTCGTGTCAGTAACTTTGTGCTTCATTAGCTCATCCCTTACAGCCCTGATGTGACTATTAAACGTTTTGTTAATGTCTTGGTCGCAGGGCTGTAAGAAGTGGGAGGTGTTAGCTGGGGCAACGACGACTTCACATTCATTTTCCACACACGCCTCCACCCATTCCATATCTTTCCAGGGACCGTGCCCATCCAGCGTAAGCAAATAGTGAATATCAGATGGCACAAACATTCGCACGTAGTTATTAAGATGTTTGATAAATAGTGGAAGAACCGTCATATCCATGGACCCCTTGTCAGTGCAGACCACTACTCCCCCATTCCGAAACCAACCTTCTGCATCCAAATTTCCCAGCAACGTCCTATTGGCATTAGGATAGGCACTAACATTTAGGGGCTGAAACCAATTGGAAATCACCTGTTTACCCTGCACAATGAAAAACGGTGGACAAATTCTGCCTGATGCAGAGGCAGCAGCCACGGCGGTGACATGCTTACCCGTTCCCGCGGATGCCGGCTTGCACCCCCCGTGGTGAGTCGTAGAGTCACATAAAAACCTTGATACGCTTCCCAAACTCCAGGTCGCCATTGGTCTCGTCGAGGTTCCATATCGGATCGCCTTCCTCCAAAATCCCCGGAAAACGGCGCCGATTCCCTCAATAATCTTGAAGAACGGATCGACATGTTCATATCTCTCTCCCTTGATCTTGGTGAGATCTTTTGCTTCGTAATTTCGCAGAGATAACTCGCAGTGCTTGGCCCTATAAAGGCGCACGGTTTCATCTGAGAGTGACCCGTTTTATAGGGATGACGATTCAGGCGAGCTGTTTGGGCCATAAGGCTCTTCAAATCGTTGATGTCGGCAGCGAAACCACGTTTACCAGCGTAGATGACACGCTCGGCGATCATGGACTCTTGTTGTTGTGACAGATGCGATATCGCCCCCGCACGGTTGGAAGATGGATTCATTATTTTGCGGAGGGCTGACGCGTTTCCTGATTAGTGATGAAGCTTGATGCGGCGGCAGGTGCCGTAAGAGAGGCAGCAGAGGGACGCGATTTTCGAAGTTGGAAGGGTGGTGGACTGGAGGAGATTGAGAACTTCGTTACGCGCTTGGGCTGCCTTTCTGTCTCGGTGGTTGCGTGTTTTGGCAAGCTTGGTGAGCTTTGTCATCGTCGGAGGCATATTGAGACTGTATGAGTCTCGAGTTTGATTGTAAAATTGAGGTTTGAAGTGCCTTTATTTGATGTACTTTTACAATAAGAACCAATGTAAGGTATGTGCATTGTTGTTATATCACCGCGCTGATTTGAATTTTTAAAAGAGTCTACCCTTGAATTAATAGTAACATAAGGGTGATTGTCCCACGAACTTGCTACTTGTCAGTACCTCACCTCCTGTCCAAATAGCACCCATTATCCAAACTTCCCCAGCATGAAGGGTAGTTTGACTAAGAGCATCTCCACCCGTGTCCGATCAAATGACCAAATAACCAAATTTAAGTGCCAAGTGGCTGATAGAAATTGGTTGGGCTATTTTTTTGGAACGGTAGATTTTGGTCATTTGGTAAACCAATATGGTTGTTCCCACCCGTTGCCCACCAAACCACTTCTTGGTACGAGCCGAGCTCGTACTCAAGTTGAAGAGGATATGGAGGGCAGTTGGTGGAACGATGTCATCGGGGATGAGAATGAAGACCTGATCCAGGACCTTCTGGATTCGAGTAGCGAGGATGAACCCCTTCGGCGATGGGGGGATCGGGTGCGGGAAAGGCTTTATCTTAACGTCGTTGAACAGTCCAGTAGCCAATCGGACCATGTCTTCCTCACTCACGCCCGTAGACTTGGAACTTAAGATTGTCCGGTGGCATGCGGAGAAGCGCACGCAGAGCTTAACGACTTGCTTGACGCGGGTCTTAATCGATTCGAGAGGGCGAGCGAGCAGGTTTACTGGCCTCAGAGCATTCTAATCTTCCCATACTTTCGCGAAGAACTTGGCGCCCTTTTGCTCAGCACCAACAATGATATCTTCAGAAGCCCGCACCCACCCTCGAGATACTGCGCAATCTTCTTCAAGGCTGTAGTTGCTCCCTCTTGTTTTGCTCATGTTGAGATGGAAAAACTTCCGACGCGATGTTCTCGAACATGGCGGGGAGTTGAATGATCACTGCCCACATCGAGCTACCTTTCCTTCTGCCTCTGAGGTAAGTTTTTTCTCTTTTGATCATTTGAATGCGCCCGGTGGGAGTCGTACAATTGAAACCAAATGACAAAATATGATTATTTGAGTATTTGGTTATTTGATTCAGTACCGGTGGAGATGCTGTAATGCAAGAAATTGCACCAAAATTCACAGTCAACAGTGAATTTTGGAGCGATTTCGTACATGCCTGATATCAAGTGGGCACTTACCGTAAAATAGCCTCGGCCCACTGAGGGCCGTTCTACGGACATACATATCCGGAAATTGGTGATTTGGAAATTCGAGGTACCCAATGAGGGATTAGCACTTGTTGTAATGTATTTTCCAGTTTCCCTTTCTGCCCGGAGCGTGTATACTTTTCCGGACATGTGAAGAAACGCACCAACAGCTAACGTGCCATCATTCCCGACACGCCCACACATCAACCAACCGCCAAAGTGCCCTCTTCCTTTTCTTTCCTTTCTTCCTAGAGCTTGCATCCAGTCCCCCGACACGCCCACACCCCCCAAACCGCCAACGTGCCATATCGTGTGTTTTCCCTGGCAGCATGCGTTGACTCCACCGACACGCACACCGACCCGCCAACGGCCAACGTGCCGTCTTCTGTGTCCTCCCTGGCTGCCGGAAGCCCGAATCTATCACCCCTGACACGCCCACACTTCCCAAACCGCCAACGTGCCATCTCGTGTGTCCTCCCTGGCAGCTTGCGTTGACTCCATCGACACGCACACCGACCCACCAACCACCAACGTGCCGTCTCCTTTGTCTTCCCTGGCTGCCGGAAGCCCGCATCTATCATCCCTGACACGTCAAGCCCCCCAAATCTCGAAAGTGCCATCTCGTGTGGCCTCCCTGTCAGCTTGCGTTCACTCTCCTGAAACGCACACCGACCCACCAATCGCTAAAGTGCCGTCTCCTGTGTCCTCTCTGCCTGCCAGGAGCCCGCAACTATCACCCCTGACACGCCCACACTCCCAAAGTTTCACCTCGTGTGTCCTCTCTGGAAGCTGGCATCCACTTCCCGACACGCAAACCCACCCACCAACCGCCAACGTGCCGTCTCCTGTGTCCTCCCTGGCTGCCGACGTGCCATCTCCTTTGTCCTCTGCTGGCTTCTCGGAGCCCGCATCCACTCCCTAACACTGCAACAAACGCACTAGCCCCCAAACTGAGACTCCGCCGTGAAATTTGAAAGCACGGAAACACCAGCTTTCCTCGAAACCATGGCGACAGTCATTCCCCCAATCGATTCACCCTTCGCAACAATCGACCCTGTGCGATATTTCCTGCTGCAAGGTGCAGATGGAAACGAGACATCACAGGCAGAAAGGGACAGAGTGTATCAGCTGGGAATAGATCGCGTTCCATCCGATCTACAACAAGCCCATGACTCGATTAGGATTGCTTGTCTGGACAATAATGTCCTCAAAGCCTGTCTAAAAATTATCAACGTCACCGGAGCACAAAACACCAAAGTGTCGATTAAGGGAAAGGTGTTGGCAGCTAAGATGGTTCAAAGGAAGATATCAATATCCGAAATTCTTCCATACGTCGATAACGGCCAAACCAATCCGACGCTGATAGTACGTACTGTCGACTACGAGCACTGCCATCTACGGCGGTCAAAATCATCCGCAATCGCGCGGGGGAAGACGAACTGCAGTGGGTGAGAGAAGATAAGCCTCGTTTTGAGGGATCTGAGGTCATTGTCGGGGAACCAAATCTCGAGATAACGCTGGAAAGCTTCGACGAAACACAGAGGCAACCAGATTTCGAGGCGAACGAGTACTGCAGGTTGTTGCATGTGTTGGCAGACAGTCGTATGCTGGTCGCTAGAGCTCAAATGATGGAGCCCCGATCCCGTGACGAGCTCGATGGAGAGTTCATTGATCCTTCGTCAGACTACATAGCAGCGATGTACAATAACGTAATTTTTAAACCGGAACCCTGTTCAACAGTGTGTGGTGGGGTTACACGGGACGACATAATATGGATCGATCCAGGACAACGGAAGTACGAGCGACTGGCGGGGACATTGAAGCCGAAATTTGGAGAATTCAAGTCTCTTTATGGAACTGCGGTGACCCGGTTTGAAGCATCGGGACAGGGAGACCCAGATGGATTCGCGCTCTACGCATATGGCAAAGTGCATCTGATGTACGCTTTTTGCTTTCTCGAGCGTCATCCGTTTCTACAACCTCTAGCCACGAGGGCTCTACAGAGTGATGCACAGAGGGAGGAGGGGGTCGGAGAGGGGGTCGGTCCTGCAGACTTTTCTGCACCTATGGGAAGCAGAGGGGTGTCACCCGGGCACAGAAAAAAGCGCAGGGGCAAAGCGCACGAGATCAGTATTAGGGGAATGGAGTCATTGTCGTCGGCTTTACAGCCGATGTCGCAGGTGGTTGCGCGAGCGACAGAAGAGGCCGAAAGGGATAAAGCGCAGTACGAGGCTGTCGAGGCGAAAGGCAGGTCGACAAAGCAGCTACTGTCTGCCATCAATGAGGCGAAAGATATGATGGAAAAGGCTGAGACAACGGAGGAGCGGGAGGTTTACGAAAGAGTTGTGCAGGGTCTGATGCAGAATCTTACTTCACAAGTGTGATGATATTTCTTAGCGATCGCGAGGTCTAGGCCGTATGTACCCACATTCAAACAACCTTTGTGCAACGCGTTGGCGCAGGTAAGCTTCCTTCCTATCCCTTCGCCTATTACGAGTTACGTATTGTTCATTGTGTAGTGAGTTTTGCGTCCAAACTACAGGGGAACCACTTGTCCTGTTATCCTCGTGTGTTGGTATCTCCTCAAAGCATTCGTCGGCCTTCCGATCTATAATAAAGTTGTGTAGTTTGCAGCACACCATTATGATGAAAGTACATTTGGATAGTCGATACCTGAGCGGTGACCACAAAATTCCAAAGTGCATGACGAGTATTCCGAAGGCTTGTTCCACTGTTACCCTACATGACGAAAGGTAGTAATTAAAACCACTCTTCCACTGAGGTAGACTTTTACCACTGTATGGCGTTAGGATATGACCTCCATTTCCATATGCATCGTCCGCTGCAATGCATGCCCACGGCGGAAGGGTTTCGCTTTGTAAAATGTCGTAAAGTAGTGTAGCTTGGAATGCTGTGGAATCATGCGTGCTCCCAGCGTGCCTTGCAGAAACAAACACAAATTTGTAGTCAGCTGTAACTGCGGCCTGGATGCAAAGTGCATAAAAGCGCTTACGATTGTAGTACTTACGGGGGTCAGGAGTATCGGAAAGGCTGGGTTGTTTAATCGCTATAGCGATTCCATCAAGCGCGGCAACAATTCCATGCAACGGGCTTCGTCTGAGCGATTGAAACAACGACGCACTTTCATTACACTCAACCTCAGTTGTAGGGAACCTCATGCGCGGTAACGATTTATCCAAAGCGGTCAAAGTTTGGTCAAAAATGGGGTACGTAGTGGCACTTGATATGCCGTAAGGCCATCCCACATCCAAATAGCTAGCCCCTGCTAACAGCCTTAAAGTGACACAAAGCATCACGCGAGGCGTCACCGTTGCAGCTACTGGTGCACTGCGCGAACGCGATCTGCGCAGTGTCGGCTCGAGTAGTGTATGTATCTCCTCAAAATGCGCCTTTGACAGGCGATACAACCGTCGAAACTTCTCGTCCCCCAAAGCGTTTGCATGTTTTGCAAAGTCGAACCTGTGGCGAGGAGGCACTGTACGACCTCGACGACCGTCTTCGTTGGTGATTTCGGTAAGCACACCCGCAGCTATTGCACACCCAATTGAAGTGAGTACACTACGCACCAGGCCCGTCCTGCGAAATCGAAACCTCTTTTGGAGGACGGTCAGCGCTCTGTGGCATCGGGCGGGGAGCCTCTGGAAACGTGGATGCTCCATGAGGCGTGGGTGTGTGGTAGCGATCACGAGAGATCGTTGGGGGCGGTCGTCGCCACAGGTCGCGAGACTACTGTTCCAAATTTCTATCCGTCAGGCCATGTCTCCATAAAAGCGATGACGAGCTGGAAACCGGAAATTACAGTATGATGTTCATCACTTCCAGATTTACAGTTTCCAAATTTTTAACTCCATAAAACGGCCCTGAATGCACTACATTTGTTGGTGGTGAAATGGGGGAGGCGGTTTTGGGGAGCGTGCCGTTCCGTGGTGAGGGTCGGCCGAGTGTCGTCCCCCCTTCCCCGCAGCGCCCGTCACCCTCTCTCTTTTATTTCTACGAAATTCCTTCCAGAAGCGTCCACGTATCCGGCCCGGATTCCGCCGGGCCGTCCGCGTGCGCTTCTCTAAAATTCAAATAAAATCTCGGACTACAGAATAAAATCTCCCTCTACAGTAAAATGCAAATATTTCCCTAAAAATATCTCACATGACCCCCTCGTCAGGGCCGACCACGGGGCTGCCGTTGCACGTAAATATACTGGCCCCGCTTCCTCGCTTGACCGCTCTGGCCCCCCCCGGCCACTGTCTCTCCACCTTCCACCGAACCTAGCTCCCTTCTATTTCATCCGCTCCACCGCCATCTTGCGCCGACTACGCTCGCATCGTTTCTTTCTCGCGCGGCCCCCGGCACTTCAGCCTCAACTTCGGGCGGTGTGGTCTCCGCGTCGCCCGAACTTGTGGTTTTTACGTCTAGCGTCACCGTAGCCCCGGGTCGCGTGGTCTCCGCGTCTCCCGGGCCTCCGGCCGTTAATCGTCCGACGCCGTCTGAGCCTCAGGCCGCGTGGTCTCCGCGTCGCCTGAGCCTCCGTTTCTCGTTGTTCCCGTTTCGGGACTTCGTTGAAACGCGCCGCGTTCCGAGCCACGCACGAGAGGTCTGTGGTCCTTTGGGCGGTACTCTCTGTGTGACATGGCTCGGACCAAGCAGACGGCGAGGGCTTCCACTGGCGGGAAGGTCCCTCGTCGAGCGATGGCCACCAAGGCAGCCCGTCGTTCGGCGGGCCTGTGGCGCGAGAACGGGGAGGAGGTCCGTGAAAGGGCGTCCCACCGCGTCAACCGACCGTTCATTGACTTCGAAGACTCAAGGAATGCTGAACACCTCTCAACCCTTTGGGAGCACGCCGGACGCTCCGATGTATCCGCGGTTAGGTATCAGGTAGGAGATGGATACTTCCGCATTAGATACAAAGAGGTCGATAATCGTGCACCCGTCGTGGCGGCCGTCTCTGCCGCCGGGGCCCGACTTCTCTTCGGGCCCCATGTGCTGGCATTCGTCACGGCTCGTCTGTCCCGGAAAGCTTGGTTCACTGCCGACCGGTGCTTCCGGCTCGGGCTCACCGAGAGTCACGGCGACGAGAGAGAGTAACACTGCTGCAACGACCCCGATTGGGTCGTCGAGCTGGTTTGGTGCTCCGACGGTAGCAACGGCGAAGCCCAGGGGTGCTATTACGCCGTCGGGAGGGGAGCCAGGATAAGTACCTTATCCTGCTCTACATGATGACGTTCGATCGTGTGCCCTCCGAGAACGAGGACGCCCGCCGGGGCTTCAACTCTGCCTTCGGGCGAGACTCCTCGACACGCATGGACGCAATTCTGGCCATCGACAACTGGTGTAGCCAGAATAGGGGCAAAAAGAAGCGCGTTAACTACGCCATGTCTCGCAACGTCTCTCCCTTGGCGTCGAGGTATTTCACCAGGTCTCAGCCCGTACCGTTTCAAGACAACACCATCCTCTGTCTCCGTTCTGCCGTCTGCAACGCCATCTCACTTGTCGCTGGCTGGCGCGCTGCCGACCGCGTCTGGGCGGCGGAGTTGGAACGAGTCACCGAGTTCGAGCGCCGAAAGAAATATTCGCCGAGCGTTTATCACTTCACTCATGTCCAACGGACCCTTCAAGCTGATTACCACGGAACCGTATCCTTGGATCACGTGGTTCCACCGCCTGGGTCAATCGTTCATGGCAGGTCCAGTGCCAGGTCCCCGTTATGGCGGAGCTCGGACGTCAGTTGGCTACTCCGCCTGTCGACAAGTGTGGAAGCCGGTGTCTACGTCCTCCGCCTTAATGACATCCATCGCTTCCAGCACGCTATTTGTCTGGACGCACGGTCGGAACCGGCGCTGATATATGACTGTGCTGAGCGGTATGCCATGCAGCTCACGAGCAGTTCTCTCCGCTTGTGCTGCCCCGCTGGCGATCCGACCAAGTTTCAGTACTTCGACGATATGCGCGTCGTGCACCGAATGGCAAAGCGGGATAGAAGCGACGGCAAGAGCCTCCGCCTCTAACCCAACCCAGGGCGGAGAGGAGCTATCCCACACGACACACTTCCCTAAGAAGGGTCGTCGTGCGAAAGGATCACTCAAGTAATCAACCAAAGATAGTTCATCCAAAAGAAACGTAATTCATCCGAGTCATCTTCAATCTAGTGCATGTGTAGGTAATCAATGCATCACATCTACATAAGATGTGCGGGTTTCTGAATAAAAGGGATTAAGCGCCTTGCATGTATATCCCGTCGACTGTAACGCAAACCCGGCGACACGAGTGTGCACCGCGGGTGCTTTGCCCGTACTACCCTGCAGGGGCCGTAGTACTTCGATTCTCCTAAAGGCCACTTCCGTAGCCCTCCCAAGGCTGCTCCTCGGGCAACCAGAACCTGGTCGCCTACGTCAAATTGGCGTTGTGAGATAACTGCCATCTTCTTGCTCTTCCTGTCCAGCTGTTTAGCAGTCCTCGTCGCTCGGAGCGCGAGGGTCGCTAACAGTTCCAAGCTGCGCCCCTCAACGCGCCCCCATCGGATTTGGTTCGACTCGGACTGGGGTTGCGAGGGCGGCTTAACTCCATACATCAACTCGAACGGGGAAAACCCGTCGGACAGTCGGCGCCGACGGTACCGGTAGAGAATCTGTTTCAACGCCGATTCCCATTTAGAGGTAGCGGCGCCCTGGCCTAATAGCGTCTTCCGAATTGAACGCTTGATGGTCCCAACCATACGCTCCGCTTTTCCGTTGGACATGGGAGCATAGGCGAGGACCGGTTTCCATGAAATTCCCTGTTGTGCCATGAAGTTCTTCAACGCTGTCGCGCTGAAACATGTTGCGTTATCTGAGACTATAGTCCGAGGTGGACCAAACGAATGGATGATCTCCTCCTTCACGAACTTGACAACTTCCGCAGACGTAGCGGTCTCGGTGGCCCAAGCCAGGGGCCAACCAGTCAGATGTTCGACCGCTATCAGGATGTAACGTTTTCCGTTCTTCGTCTTGGGAAGGGGTCCCGCAAAGTCTATCGAGAATGTCTCAAAGAGCTGAGAGACTGGTATCACCGCCGTGCTCTTGTACGTCGGGATGGGCACAGCCTTTTGGCAGCCTTCATATCCACGAACGTAGGCGTAGATATCACCATGAACTCCCGGCCACCAGTACCTGTCAAGGACGAACTGCTTCGTAGCTGTAGCGTCCCAGTGGCCAATGTCGTCATGCAGCGACCGCAATATCTGCAGTCGAGTCCCCCGAGAAGGGATTGTTCTGATCCCATTCTTCATCCTGCGAAACAGCCTTCCGTTCCAGGCGAGGAACCGCCTGGAGTTCTTCTTGATTCTGCGCCTCTGCGCAACATCTTGCTCAACCATCTCTTCTCCTTCGAGATAACGGTACGTGTCCCGCACATGAAGTTCCATGTCTTCCAGTATATCTCCTTTTGCAAAAGCGGCAGTACATACCAGGTCCCCCTCATCCTCCTCGCGCCTGCCATCGTCTTTTCGTAGACGCGAGAGAAAGTCAGCGGCACAATTCTTTGAGCCGGGGCGGTACAATATCTCGAATTCGTACTCCGCCAGGAAATCCAACCAACGGGCAAGTCTACCGTGGATGTCTTTCTTTTTGAACGCATACTGAAGCGCTTGGTGATCCGTAATCAACTTGAACTTTTGCGTTGAGAGCAAATACACCCGAAATTTCTTTAGCGCGAAGATCACCGCTAACGCTTCTCTCTCACAGGTGGGGTACTTCTTTTCAGTCTCCGTCATCGTCCTGCTGGCGTATTGTATCGGGTGAATCTTCTTGTCTTCCTTCTTCTGAGCCAGAACTGCTCCCACTGCCATGTTGGATGCATCTGTCTCGACCACGAAGGGTTCGTCAAAATTCGGGAGCGCCAACAGCGGAGGAGACGTCACCATCTTCTTCAACTCCTGGAAGGCGGTCCGCATCCCTTCCGTAAATTTAAATTCGACTTTGGTAGAAGTAGCAGCATGCAACGATGCAGAGACTTCTGCGAACTTAGGGATAAATCGGCGGTAATACCCCGCTAGTCCAAGGAAGCTTCGTAACTCCGTCTTGGTGCGCGGCTCGGGGGTGTCCCAAATGATCGATGTCTTCTCTGGATCCACCTCAATCCCTTTCTTTCCGATTACGTGCCCCAATAGCCTGGTCTGTGATTGCGCGAAGGAACACTTCGCAAGATTCAACTTCAATCCACTGCGAGCAATCAGCTCGAACACTTCAATCAAGTGGTCAACATGGACGCCCAAGGACTTCGAAAAGATGACCACGTCATCAAGGTATACTCGGACGAATGGAAGGTCTCTGAATACGCCATCCATCATCCTTTGAAATGTTGAAGGAGCGTTCATGAGCCCGAATGGCATCACTTCAAATTGAAACGTCCCGTACCGACAGACAAACGTCGTCTGTTCTTTGCACCATGAAGCCATCCGCACTTGCCAATAACCCCAGAACAAGTCCAGGGTAGTGAATAATTGGCTCCCCTCAAGGTCGTCGAATATCTCTTCCATTTTAGGCAACGGCCACTTGTCGGCCTTCATCACGCGGTTCAGCGCGCGGTAGTCAACACAGAAGCGAGGTTTCCCGTCCTTCTTCGTTGCGATGACGACCGGAAACGACCAAGGAGCTACAGAGGGGGTAATGATCCCTGCCTTCTGCATCTTCTCGATCTCCTCGCGCACTACCGCGTTGTGTCTCGGAGGGAGCCTCCCAACGGCGTGCGAAATGGGTCTGTCGTCATTTAACTCAAACGAATGTGACAAAGAGACATCTGCCGGCCTGAGGTCGTCCAAAAACCATGCAGCTATTCCCATACTCTTGATAGAACATATTATGCGGTCGGCGTTCTCTCTACTGATATGGCTCAGCTTAGACATGAGAAGTTCCTCCTTCTCATCTCTCTTCTCTTTCTCATCCGCCGGCTCGTACTCTGAGCCTTCCTCAGCTAGGTCCGGAAGTCCAGCATGAGGATCTTCGTCCTCAGTGACTGCTCCCGCCCAGGCAAGGTCTGGTTCAAACGGCACCCTTTCACGCAGCGAAAGGACGAAGTCTTCATCCGTGTCAATCGAGTCAGCCGGCACGGCCCCCGAGTCTGACGTGAAGTCCTCACTGTCGATAGCGGATCCCGGCTTCTTATGGTCTTCATCCACCTCAAGACTTAGTCGAATCGTCTCATCACCCACAGTTACTTGGACATGCTGTTGCCCCAAGTCAATGCACGTTTGGAGCTTCTCTAACGACGGCATCCCCACGATGACGTCGTACGGTGTTCCCGTAACGAAAAGAAAGTCCATCATGCTCACCAGTCCCCCAAACGAGACGGGGACCTGGCGCAGTGATCCAACACAAGGGGAGCTCTTCCCATCTGCCACAGTGATGTGTTTCTTCGTACTCTCTGGCGTCAGAGAAAGTCTCTTCATGAGGTGCGGCGACATGATGTTCGGCACCGCACCCGAATCCAGTAGTGCTTGAGCATCAGTTTCATAAACTTGAACAGTAACTACCCGAAGACGCCTCGGGAAGACATCCGTGTGGCCCGCAAACCCGCGAGAACGCCCCAATCTCCTGGATAGAAGGCGCTTCATCTCCTTCCTCGCTCCTTCAGCGTCTCCACGGACAAGTTGTCCAAATGTTAGACCAGACAGCGCATTCGCCAGCTCTGACACGACGTTGTACTTACCGACGTGCTCCTGGAGTGCCGCCTTCTTTGAAACATTCTTCTTCTTCTGGCGTGCAGGCTTCACTCTCGGCACTCTCAGCGGCTCATTCCAGGGGAGAATTCCCTTAGGAGCTACTGGAGTGGGATTCAGCAGCCTCGGGATCGAAACTTCTTCACGGTTCTTCGACTGCTTCGGCAAGGCCTCTCCTTCGGCGTTCCGTTTCGTAGCTGCCACCAATTCTCCCTTGGTGGTCTCAGTTATGACCGTGACTTGCTTCGAGTCTCTGGTGGCCTTGTCACCGGCGTCGTTGGCAGAACCGCCTGCTTTGGGGCCATAAGCGCTTCCTGCGCCAGCGTTACCTTGAGGACGTGCATGAGCCACATTCTTCCTAGCAAAGCGGGACCAGCAAGTCTCCGTCGTGTGTCCAATCTTCCCACACGTTGGGCAACGAGTATCACGGTGTGGGTTGGAACGACAACGAGTCGCTGAAGGCCTTGGTTCCTTGCAATAGGAACATGTCCAACTCGTATCACTGTCCCCTGGCGTCTGTCGTTTCTTCATCATCAGTGACAGTTCCGCCAGCTGGTTGGTGATGGCGTCAACCTTGTTCTCCAGCTTTTCCTGTCGAGGATCCACATCAGAACGCACCAGTACGCGCTTGGGCGTCACAGGTTCAACGGACTGCGCAGCAGTTTTCGCCGCCTTGAAGGCGTCACGGCCTGCAGCAAAGTCCTTCACGGTCTTCATTAGTTCTTCGTACGTCGTCGGAGAACGATAGATCGCGAACTGAGCAACATCCAAATGTGCCATTACGGCATTGCGAAGCAAGCTGTACTTTGCCTCGTCGTTGAAACCAGCCCTTCTGTAGAGCTTGTCCATTTCATCCATCGAAGTAAGCAAGTTCTTACCATCCAGTCGGCAACTCATAGCCTTCTGGATGTTTTCTTCTGGCCTCGGTGCCTCCGTAAAACGGTCAGACAGGGCGCTCTTCACACCGTCCCAGTTACTGGCGGCCTCGGTCAGACTCCCGTTATGACTATACGTGTCATCGTAATAGTCGAACGCGGCACCCTCAAGGTGGCATAGGATAGCTCCTGCCTTCTCCTCGTCAGGCGTGCCGCGCATAATGATGTTCTCGTATACGAAGAGAAACTTGGAAACATCTGACCCGTTCGACCCATCGTAGGTAACACGGTTAGGGCCCGCACTTGTGTCTGCGCCGGCCCTCCACAAGAGTATCATGTTGGTGGTGAAATGGGGGAGGCGGTTTTGGGGAGCGTGCCGTTCCGTGGTGAGGGTCGGCCGACTGTCGTCCCCCCTTCCCCGCAGCGCCCGTCACCCTCTCTCTTTTATTTCTACGAAATTCCTTCCAGAAGCGTCCACGCATCCGGCCCGGATTCCGCCGGGCCGTCCGCGTGCGCTTCTCTAAAATTCAAATAAAATCTCGGACTACAGAATAAAATCTCCCTCTACAGTAAAATGCAAATATTTCCCTAAAAATATCTCACAACATTTATTCGAGCGCCAAGGGCATCTCGTTCCCGTCCCCTCTGCAAGAAGACCAAGAACGAAAAGCAACGACGACCAACGACTAACAACGGTAAAAGAGGGAGATAGTGCGAAGAGCAAGCACCGCTTAGCCACCGCCACCTATTCGAATCCGAACAACACCCCCCATTCCCATACTCCATGGCCGTCGAGTCGATCAGACGAGGCATGGGTGATGTGTTCAGGCCGTCAATAGTAGCCGAACGTAATCCTGCGTCGATATGTGTGAAGCTTGATTCTCGGGGGAGCGATGGATTACCAACTACGTGTGAGTCGCGTCTAAAAGCGGCTGTGCTACAGAGAGATAGGAACAAGCAAGTGGGTGCCACAGCAATGGGACAGGGCGGAGTCGGGAAGACATGTGTCCTTCGAGCGATCGCACACGACGATGAGATTAAGGCGGAATTTTCGGGAGGAGTGTACTTCATGTCGTTGGGGAAAGACGGAAACGTGGGACGGCTGATTGAAGAACTGTGTCTGATTGTGGAAGCGTCCGGCGGGAACCAGACGGCTGTGGAAATGCGAGGGCAGAGCGAGTTTGAAAGGGTGTTAGCGAAGGTACAAGCGTGGTTTTGTAGTCATGTGTGTCTGTTTATCATTGATGATGTGTGGGTGGTGAATGATATAGACGCGAATATCTTTCAAAAGTTGTCTGTTCTGGCTGACACTGCGGGGAGCAGCGGGGGAAAGACGAGCAGACTACTGTACTCCACGAGGGATAAGGAGCTGCGTCAGATTGGGGAGCGGGTTGCTTTCGAGCCGGGGGAGAAAGTAGGGAAAGAAGCAGTTGACATGCTTGTGCACGCAAGTGGGGCGAATCGAGAGGAGGTGGATGATGCGAGATGCAAGGAAGCCGTGAGTGAAATACTGAAAATGTGTGGCGGATTGCCGCTTGCGCTGAACGTGGCGGGAACGTGCGTGAGGTACATGAGGGAAAGATGGGAGGGAGAAGTATCAGAAGCATGGGGGGCGTACCTTTCGAGGGTGAAGAGTCGTAACACGATTCGTGGGGAGATCCAGCAGGACGGATATTCGTCGTTGGATTGGACATTGCATAGGTCACTAGATATCCTGGAGTCGGGAGTGGGAAGGAGTGGGGAGACGGATGATGAATTTTCGTTTCGAAAGATGCACCGGAGTCTGTGCGTTTTGAAGAAGCAGGACTGGATACCTTTGAGTTTGGTTGGAGATTTGTGGGAGATGGACGAGGAGCGGACGGAAAGGTGTGCAAAGCAGATGGAAAGGGTTGGACTAGTAGAAGTGCAGTATGAGAAGGGTTGTGGTGGGTTGCGGGTGCATGATCTGACGCACGATTTCGCGGTGGAAGAAGCGAAGAAGAAGGAGGGTGTAGAAGAGTGGTGTAAGAAGATGGCGAATATACGCACGGCAAGAGGATTAGTAGTAGAAGAACTGCATAGACTAGACGAGCAACGGGCCCTTGGGGAGGGCTTTCGCAGTCGTCCCCTCCACATAAACTACTATCAATCGCTGCAGGCCACGCTTCGTTCAGCTTTGCAAAGTTTGGACTCTGGTGCTCATGTTGGACGTGTATCATTTCAAGAGATGTACGCTGCATTGTGTGCCACAAAGAAACAGGATTTGATCCCTCTGAAAGTGTTGGTGGATCTGTGGGAAGCAGCTGACGTTAAGGTGGCGGAAGAATATGCAAAGGAGATGGAAAGTGTCGGGTTGGTTTCCATTGAATGTAAGACTACCCGTCCACCCCAAATATTAGGGATACGTCTACATGATCCTGCTCATGATTTTGTACGTCAGGAAGCAGAGCGGATGAAGATTTCATTTTGGGACTATCAGTGGCAACAGAAGCCATGGCCCTCCATATCTGAATCTATTCCTCTACTTCTTCGAGAAAGGGACCCAGTTCACCGCCTTGTCCGCTCTGCCATTCCACAATCCTACGATACGCTCACCCATACTTTTTCCGTCATTTCACATCGTCACCGGAATGCTCAGATCTTTTCCACAGATTTTGGGGCGTACGACGTGAAAGACTTTACTACCACTATGATCAATACGATGAATGATCACGGTAGTGAAGTTGCTGAATATCTCCGCAATGCCATCTTATTTGTCCTAGAGAATAACTTTCCCTATGACCGAGTGCTGGTATCCAACACTCTCAACAATATCTCTGTGATGTACTTCACTGAACCGTCGCCACCCTTTTCCGGTCCGCAACTGCGCAAACAGGGACGCGAACTCCTCCAACGAGCAGTTGACATATCTAAGCAATGTGACAGAGCGAGGGCAAACTTGGCATTGCTTTTATGGCGCGGACATGACATAAGGAACGATGGGGCCGAGATATCGCGAGCCATAAAGCTACTAGAGGAAGCGATCTCTATCTGTCCACTGCCGAGGTACAAATTTTTACTTGCTCGTGTATTGATGTCCGCCGAGTCGGGCGTATTTTGCGACTGGGTCCGTGCGAAGGCGCTCCTAACTGAGGCTGTACGCAACGACCTTTACAAACCAGCTGTGAAACTTCTTGCAGACATGCCGGCACATGGACATGAGGAAGTCCCTCTGGATGTCTCAGGTGCTACTCGATTGCGCTCCCGTGCGGAGCAGCATTCGAAAGACATAACAGACATGCTTCAGCGTGTTGATTTCCAGGACTCGCGAGAGTACGTCGAGAAAAAGCTCAAGGAAGCAAAAGCAAAACAGTCGCAAATCTTTTTGATGGTTTTAGGTGGTGGAGCAAGAGGAAAGACCTCACTTGTCCGCAGTCTTCGGGGGTTGCCATTCGTTTCTGAGTATAACCAAACAGAGCTAGCTGCACTCTCTAGGATACAAGTGCTTCTAGGAAGTCGAAATATGAGCGAAGAGGACGGCGACGAGCTTGCGTTCAGTCAGGACTCGCTGAACGCTATCCTATCACGACAAGCAACATCATCTCCGAGTGTCAAAGCCCAAACAGCAACTGTCGAGAAGACGAATCAGGACCCAGCTCTAAGCATTCTTCATGCATATTCAAAGAGCGGACATGCAACAATAAATGACCAAAGGACCCCACAACGAACAACATCGTCTATTAATCTGGCTCCTCAAATTGGAAACACTTTTCAACCGCCAAAGACAACAATTGATCCCCATCTGGCTCGGGTTCGAAATTATTTGGAAAACTCATCCACTCTGAAGAAGATAGACGGAACACTTGTGCAATGCTGGGATCTGGCTGGACAGTCACAATATGTGATGGCACATGCCTTGTTCGTTAAAAATGGGAGCTTGTTTGTGTTTGTAGTTAATTTGAAGAATCTATGGAACATTTCAACTCGAGTCGAAGAAGTGAGGGAATTATGTCGGTGGATGCAACTTGTACATGCACTGGTACCGGATTCCGAATCTGTGCGACCGATTATTGTTGGTACATACAAGGATAGTTGCGGGGACTTGGGGGAGGCTGAGAAGGTTCTACGTGAGGGCTTGCTGGACGAAGTTGGGGAAGCAGTGTATGACACATGGGTGCGTGACAAACCTGAAGCAGAGAACGGCGAAGGTCGCGCCATTCCTTTCATCGCTGTGGAAAACAGAACTGCTAAGGAAGATCCTGGAGAGTCTGGCATAGAAGAACTAGAAAAATTAATCAAACGGTTGTCGGACGATATCGTGGCTTCACGACTGGAAATACCACTTCGGTGGATAGCTTTCGTGGAAGAAGTAGAACGGAAGAGTGCTGAAATGAATGCTGAAAGGATGAGCACCGTTGTTTGGAACACACAAGAGATATTCAAATGTGCAGATGGGTTTTCAGCCTTTAGTACAAAAAAGGAAGAGCGACATGAAGACGCCTTACGAGCACTGAAATATTTTAGCAAGCTTGGGAGATGTGTTTTATTTGATATGCCAAAGGAGGGAGTATATTTGTTCCCACGTCCTGCTGCCATGCTTGATTTCGTACGGCGCGTGACTGGACCCGAAGAAAAAGTGCGCAGAAGTCTGCCTAAAAAACACGCACTATCCTTACGTGACGGTCTGTTGACAAAGGAAGGTCTGAAGAAATTGTGGGACGAACACTCGCAGGAAATTTGCGATATGATGCTCGATGCCTTATGCAGCGTTGATATACTCATGCGAGTGCAATTCGCTGATGGCACCTCAGGAACTTCGGAAGACTTGATTGCGATCCCAGCACTGTTGAAGGAAGCTGACGACTGGCAGGACTGTACGAGCCGACCTAACGAGTCGGAGGTACGGTTAGTTACTGAATTTGTGGACGCATTTCCCCACGGTCTGATGGGTTGCCTAATCAGCCATCTCCACAAAAAGGTAGGAAGGGTTAGGCCAAAGGTGGGGTTCGTGGGTGCAAATGCTGCGGATTGGGCTGCGAAAATTGAGTTAAAAGAATCTGGACGAGTGGTGTTTATATTCGTGAGTCAGCAACGACGTATTGAATGGAAAGTGTATGCGCAAGATCCTTTGAGTGTTGCACGGAGTTGTGTGACGGAAGTGGAGGAGCTTTCACGCATGCCACTCAGTGGCAAGAAGTTTCCTATGAAGCACTTTCTGCGGACGAAGTGTCGCTCAGATTTAACCGGGTGCGGAGGAGAGTGGACGGCTAAGTTTGAGATGCCCGGAGATTGGGTCGAGAACGCTACAAAGGCGAGATTGCCGAACCTCGAAGGCGAATGTCCTGCCCCATGTGGCGAGTCATGGAGGCTTTTGGACCTGATGCCAGAAATAGAGAAATATTATGGGCCAGCTGATCCTAAGGCATTGAAGGCATTGGCCGTCATTCCACGGAGTTCTAAAGAGGTTGGGATGAAGGCCGTGGATGTATTCATAAGCCATGCGGGAGTACAGAAAGGAAAGGGAGGAAAGGGAGGTGACAAGTTACATTTTGCCCGACCGCTGCACGAAGATCTCTGTAAGCGGGGAATGTGTTGTTTTTTGGACAAAGTTAGTCTGAGGCCAGGAGATGATGGTGTGGACAAGATGACAGTGGCCATGGAAACTGCGGATATAGGAGTTTTCATCCTTTCGCCAGAGTTTGCATGTCAGCGGTGGACTATGAAGGAGTTGGAATGCTTCCTAATGAGGAAACGAAAAAGGAGGAAACGAGAAGCCTCTGAAACAAAGAAGCCAGGGCAATCACCAGGGCAATCTGTTCCCATACTGATACCGGTCTTCTACCGTTTGAGCTTGCAAGAGTGCCGGAGGTTTGACCCAGAAAAATATTCGAAATTGTTTCGCGACGAAGATTTCTATGATGAAGCGCGACAGCGAGAAATGAGTACAGCAACAGTCACGGCGCTGTTGAAGGAATTGTCCTGGACTACCGGGATCGAAAATGACGGTGGAGCGTCAAATGACAATGGTGACCCTTTTGCATCTCTCGCACGTGAATCCCTCGTGGAGAGAGTTGCGATGGCCATTTCAGAAAAATATGCTAACATCCAAGCGAATCGAAACGAGCTCTAACTCATCAACCTGGAAGCCGACGTGACAACAATCAGGGTGGAAAGCCCATCTAAGAGCCGGAGCACAGAGAGCCCCCAATGCATGACGGTGAAAAAAGTCATGGACGGGTAACAAGAAACAAATTAATTCAGGCACACAGATTGACGTTAAATGCTTTCGGGATTGCTGTGAGATATACAATATTTGAATATACAATTTGAAATCTGATTAGTTCTATCGGTATCATGACCATGGAATGTATCATGACACCGTCCTCCCATCCAGGACAAGACCGTGATGATGGTGGAATTTCGGCCACTTGTCCTTCAATTGCCCTGAAACAGGGTCCAATGCTTCAACCCTCCGTATAATCGGGTCAGCGGCCAATGATTGGCAAATAAGCTACCGTACTGCGACATTTTATTGACTTCAACAGATGTCCGAAACAGATCCCGTTCTCTGGCGAAGTGCGTGTTAAAATAGTTAGGTTATACTGCAGTAATTGATCGTACAGTATTTTTGGGGGAGCCTTTTGTCCGGATAGAGCAGTTTAAATGTAGAGACTTTTTGTTACGCACCACTTTTATTTTGGAATTTTGTTACGTACCACATTTTATGAGCCCCTTTTCTTAGGAGCGCTCTAGAGTGATGAGGAGGTGAAGAGGGCGTCGTCGGAATGAGTTTGATCAAAGGGAACACGTTCTTTGACAAGCACAGCATCTTGATGGCATCCTTAGCCCTGTGCGCCACGGTAGGCCGATCTCACAAGGTAAAAAACTCAGACTCTGGGCGCCTGCGTATACAGTGTCCCTCCCCAGGAGTGCTCATACACTTTGAACGCCCAACCAGACCGCAGGGCAAACAATGGCTTGTGGAAAATGGGAAAACCCAATCTCACCCACTCCTGCGACGCTATAAAGGGGAAACGTAAGCCCCTAGCCGTGTGCTAGTGTTTGATAATCTTCGCGAGCGGCATGCGAACGTCCCGGAGGCTGCACTCTGGAATTATCTGGACACAAAGTGGGCATCGACTGTTATTCATCATGCAACACTTGAACGCCAGTATGTTGCAGCTGCTGCCCTTGCCTCTCAAGTAAACATTAACGTGGATTTGCAGATTCTGCCTATTGCCAGACAGATGAGGGCGTGGAGAGTTCCGAGTCAGGCAGGTCGGCCGAAGAAACGGCGGGAACAGGGGGTCGCAGCGCTTCAACGAAAGTCGCGTTGCTCTGCTTGTGGTCAAGTTGGGCACTACGCTACGACTTGCGAAGCTACAGACACTGTGTACCTCTACCGGAAAGTCGTTCGGGAGTGAGGTGAAGAAAGTGGTACGTAACAAAACGTCTCTTATTAAAATGCTCTCGTTTTAGTGCACTACAATAATTGCGTTGAGGTGCATTTTATTCGTGCTGTATGCGTCACCGTCGTACGATAATTTCCCACACTGCCCTTTCTTGCTCGCTTGCCTCCTAATAGTCGGCCGCAGTGTGTTGGATATCGCTACTTACTGTGCACATCCTTCTCTACATGTCTCCTGGCCACTTACCACACATTGTCTGCGTCTTCCCTTCTTCCGCTCCGCGCCCCATCTCCCGCGCCGCCCGACCTAGCCCATGCCGCACCGCCTCGGCAAACGCGACGCATCCCTTTCGATTCCCTTCACTGCCGCGAGGGCTCGGTTTCAGGTCCCCCATCAGTTGTACACGTCGCCACGTGCGACTGCGGTTGTGTGCCGAGCACTGCATGCACTCCTACGTGTCGCTAGCGCGGGGTCAGTCCTTCTTTTGCATGACGTCATGCAGACTCAGATAAATAGAAAACGCAACATTTATTCAACGACGTGCGCATGCGTGATTTGTTTGGGCAGCAGCGGCGTTGACACTGACAGGTGGTCGTCGAAAAGCTTGCACTCCATACACACCATGCGGAGGACATGCCATGGGCGTCACTGCTGCGTCTGCATGGGGGCATGGGTATTACACAAGTATCATTCCCGCATCGTTGCGGCCCCCGGAATGATATGTGTGTACTTGCTAGCTCGCCTCGAAAGGTTTCCAAATGTTGCGTTGTAACCCGATGCCTGGTGCTACAACCTACACACGTAGTGCGAGAGTAGAAAGAGCGGACGCGCAACCTACAGAAGGCACGAGACAGCGTGAGACATGAGTATCTTTGCATGTTGTACAAAGGCTGTGGAAGTTGTGAGTTAAGGGAACGCTGTAGGCAACTGTAAGCCGTACACACCCGAAAATGCATGTCATGGGGTGTTCACTCTAGCGTCGCAGAATTGGTGCCCTTCGCTATTGCAACGCAGGCGGGCGCTCGCACATCGTGTACAGAATGCAAGGGAGAGATGAGGTGAGCGGCGCCGGACACGCTCCGAAGCAGAATTGGGAAATGTATGCATATGAAATGTATGTATGAAATGTATGCAACGGTCGCAAAACGAGTACAGTGCCTCCTACGATATAGTGCCATAGCGTGAGATATCTCTAGCTATGGCACTATTAGAGGGATGGCACTATATAAAGGAGACTCAAATACATATATTTGGGGACAAAGCACGTTGTTAAAAGCCTGTAGAACATAACTAAAAAACTTCATCCTTTGAGTACAGTACTGAGTATTCGTCGCCACATTTTCCCCCCGTCGCACCTCTCATACTGTACGAATATCGTAACAATGAACCATGCCGGATGATACACGTGTGGGATTATGATAACCTGTGCCAGAGGGTGAGCCATAGCACTATATAGAGGGAGGCACTACTAAAGAAGGCACTATTGAGCGACCCCCCTTGTAAGCATATATATACAGTACATGTACAGTATTTGTTGCCAATAGGCTGAAAGGCAAAAAAAGGCAGTGGAAAAAAATCACGGTCATGTGAGCAGAAGAGCATTGGCACTTGACCTATCAGGCACAGCGGGGTCGGGTTCGCGCGTGCCTAGGGCCCCAGGGCCCCGGGGCATACGGTCGCCACCTTGTGTATCAATCGACGGGGGGCGTGTCGCGGTGCGGGGTGCGGTCGGGGGGACTCGAAGGGCGGGGTGGGAATATGGGTGGCGGGGGGGGGAGGCGGGTCAGTCAACCCCAACTTTCGAAGATTCCGGGTGCTGCAAAACAATTGGCGTGCGCCGCCTGCGCCGTGTGTCCGCTCGCCACCCGTTCTGTGGCCCACCGCCCCTCCAGCACGCCATCGCCCATTGCTGACGCGCCGCAGACATTCCTTCCTAACTCTGTCATTTTCTCTCGGCACGCATGCCGCCGCGGAGACAACATCATCGTGCCACCGCTGCCCCTCACTCCCCGCATGCTCAAGCCCCGCTGTGCTTAATTCGCCCCGCGCTCGACCCCCTGACTACCCTTCTGCAACACCCGGTGCAACAACAACACTTCAGAACCGTGTCGCCTGGTCATGCTTTCCTTCTCCGCCCAAACCCCTTGCTCGCATATCAGCGTATCTCCGAACCCGCATTAACCACCCCTTCCCCCCTCCCTTCCCCTCTCCCTTCCCCTCTCCCTTCCCCTCTCCCTTCCCCTCTCCCTTCCCCTCTCCCTTCCCCCATCGCAAATACCACCCGTCCAGTAGCGGGCACCCGAACCCGACCCGGCGACATGACGATGTCACAACCGTCAATCGCGGATGCGAGCGCCACAACCACACTATTCGTCCCCTCATTTTGCAAGGCCTCCTTGGCCTCCACCGCCTTTCTTCCCCGCGCTCCCGCCGCCCTCTCTTCCGTGCGCCACCCGCATGTCGCGCCCGTTGCAACTGGCCCGCGCCTGACGATGCGACAAGACTCGGATCATGCAAGCAACGTACGGCCGTCGAACACTAGCGCCGCGGACCACTCCGCCGACGAGGACACCGACCGCAGACGAATGTCCATCGACTCTAACTTCTACCGCGTCAACCCCGACCTGCTGCAGTCGGACGCCGAGGAGAACCTGCGAGGCTTCATCAAGACAAGGGGGAGCCTAATTCCGGGCGAGGAGTTTGTGTTTTGGTGGGTCGGTGACATTTATGACATGGTCGACGGCGAGAGCTCCAGGCATCTCTTCTCCTTCGAGGGCTACAACATCGGCCGCATGGTGCGTGTCGACGGCGGGTGGCGCATGCTCACGAGGGAGGTCGGCCTGTACAAGGACAAGGACACGGGCGAGATCCTGGGCACGTGGGAGAACCCGGAGACTGGGGCTACGAACAAGTGCATCCACGTGTGGAACGACCCTGTGAACCAGCAGTTCCTGCTCGAGCAGAACGGGCGCAAGTTCAAGGTCCCTACCACAACGCAGGACGACGACATCTACTGGCACTCGGAGATCTTCCTGCGCTACAAGAGCCCGCTGCAGCGCGACGAGTTCCCCGCCAACACGCAGAGCGACACGTACCAGTCGACGGAGATGTTCCAGTTCTTCTCCAAGCGCGACGACCTCGCGTCCGACAGTCCCAGCGCGGACTGCCTCATCAGCTGGGTCCGCGTCGGGCAGTGGCTGCCGTGGATGGAGATGGGCGACCGGCCGGGGCGCCTCGTGTACCACTGCCGCGGGCGCAAGCTGCACAACGGCTTCTCGGACCTGTCGGAGAACGTGCGCGACTACGTGCAGAAGCACCACCCGGAGTACTCGAGCGCGCCCACAAACTACACAACGCCCAACGAGACCTCGTGGACGTACATGAAGAAGCTGCTCGAGGCCAAGGGCGCTCCGCGCGCGGACGGGAGGATCGCCGGACCCGAGCCGGAAAAGCCCGGCGCGCACGTGGACCCGCCCGAGGCGGTGAACATGGTCCTGGCGCCGAGGAAGATGAGGGCGGAGGAGCTCGCGCTGTTTGGCGGGGACGTCGCGGAGCGCCCCATCTACATAAGCATCGCCGGACGGATTTTCGACGTGAGCTCCGCAAGCAGGCACTACAGGAAGGGCGAGACGTACAACTGCCTGACCGGAAAGGATGCTTCGCACGCGTTCATCTCGGGCGACCTTTCCGAGGCGGGGCTGCGCAACTCCTCATCGATTGACCTGCACAACCTCGACAAGGAGCAGGCAAAGGACCTTACGCACTGGGTCGAGTTCTTCGCGAACACATACCCGGAGGTTGGGGAACTTGTCGACTGGTAGGGGTGCTGTGTGTCGAATATGTACAACGTTCCGGTGCGGCGCAGCTCGACGTGGGCTGCATATTGTATTGTAAACTTCTGACTGAGTGAGTATCGGGGTGCGAATTATTAAAGAGAGGTAAACATGCGGGCCATGTTAGTTGCATTCAGGGTTTGTGTCATGGTTTTTGTGGTTGGAAAGTTGTTTCGTCGTCATGAGAAGACAGTTTAGTCGTGAAGTGAGCTACATGCACATGCCTCACACAATGGCAGCAACAATGGTACAAGTGTGTGGTAAAAGGGAGTGCCCCCCGGCCAGGAGACTTGTGGAGAAGGATGTGCACAGTACACCTGATCACAGTATTTAACCTGGGCCAGGTTAATTTTGAAGCTCATATTTCCAGTTGCACACATCAAATAATCTAGACCATGTTAATTTTGAATCCAGGCCAATTCCTGTGGAATTCCCAAATAAGCTGGACCATTTTATTTTTTGGTGATATATTTAACTTGGATGCAATCAACTTGCGCATCGCCACGACTCTTCATTGGATTGGCTCACCATCAAAATGCATGCGATGTTCCGCAATAATGGCTTGAAGGTCCTGGGACAGCTGCTTTTCCTCCCACAAACCGTTCCAATTGAGGGCCAAACCGGTTCGAATCATCGCCTTTCTACGTTGGTGACCGCTTCTGTCTCCCTGCTCGTTAACGTCTCGAACAGAAGCAGCAGCAAGCTGCAAGAAAACCCGTTTTCCGGGGTTAATGAATTTTCCACTTTGCCCATTGCTCGCTCCCATCCACTCTCCTCTCACAATCAACCCAGCTTTGTACTGATCCCATCTTTTCTTCCACGCATCCTTGATTTTCGAAATTACAAAAGAGTCTGCCGGCTGTAGCAAATCTGTCGTAGTCGGGGGAAACTTCGTGAGTTCAGTGTTGAGATTTGCAAGGGCATCGCGTAGAGCATCACTATCATTGTGACCTGAACAGTTGTCAACAAATAAAATTCTTTTCCCACCAGTGGGGTGTGGCCTCATTGAACGGGATTCAGTCAACGATTCAACAAAAACCCGACTATCCATCCATCCCTTTTTGCCCGACCGGTAGCAAACGCCTGGAACGTCGTCGAGAACCCCTCTAATAGGGTATGAACAGTTTGAATTCTTGAAAAGTAGCATCGGGGTTTCCAACCTGGCATCCCTTCCCCCCGTCAATCGAACCATCATCGTCATGCCCTCGTCACCTGAAACCACATCCGCATACTTAACGCACTCCTCCCCTCTAAATCCAATGGTTCGCCCATTGTCCATATTAAAAATAAAATGGGTCTCATCCGCATTCTCGATGAGGTCCTCCTGGAACTGCCCTGACTCAAACCCCCTCTTGAACATACCAAGGTGGAAGGCCACTGTCTTTCGAATAAAGTTTCGCTTGCCCGGACTAACAGAATGCTTTCCGACATGACGCCTGATAACCAGATTGTGCTTTACCATAAAATACTCAATCCATCGTGCCGTTATTTTGCCGACGAGTGGATTGTTGTTGGAATTGACGGACTGATGATATGGCTTCTGCTCATCCGCGTTCTGTACTAAAGCAATCGCGATGGTCCGAAGGCCGGCAGGGGTCATCTTGATACTTGCAGCTCGAAGACGATCGAACTCAGCGCGAAGATCGCGGTAGAGAGCAGCAACCCACAGCGATTGCGTCCGCGACCTGGCATCGCTTTGAAATTGTAGCGCTTCCGGCCTCGCTGCAAGTGACCAGATACATTTCCCGATCGACGTTTGTCACTGCCAATAGCGAGATACACATCTCTCCTCTTCCACCAGTACGAAACTTTCGCATGCTTGGATTTGTAGCTGCCAGTAAGCAACGACTGAAACTCCCTCAAGGCCTTTGCAACGATTTGCGTGTCGCCAAAACTGACTGCTTCTTTCGTCATCCATTTTAGTACAGAGAGGCGTTGCGCGATAGTAGAGACGAGATGCTGCTGACGGTGGGTATTTGGTAGAACATTCTGTAGACTGACGTCCATGTTCTCGGATTGCAGGTCTGCAGAAGCATCGTTCTGCGACCTGTGCGCCGCGGCGGTGGCCAAGGCCCGTTCGATCGGACCTCGAGGAGCCATTTGGATTCGAACAGTAAACGGATCGGTTTGCTTGAGACTCAAAACCGAAATGGTATCACAGGTATCACAATCTACCAGCTGTCAAGAGGGAATGCACTTGACAGCTTGATACGTCTGTGCACAGCTCTGTTTTGTTTTGCATTTCACACCCTTGAATGACGTCGAGGCATGCTGACAGTCGTACAACGGATGCCACGTAATATCATCAGGAAGTATGATAACCAGAGGAGGAGGGCTGGTCACAGCAATTAATCTGGACCATATTATATTTGATTCCATACTAATTTGTGTGTCTAGGTTAAATACTGTGATCAGTGTAGTATAATATATCGCTACTACATATTATGTGCAGTGCCTCCTACGATATAGTGCAATAGCGTGACATACCTCTAGCTATGGCACTATTGGGGGGATGGAACTATATAAAGGAGGCTCAAATACATACATTTGGTGACAATGCTAATTCTATGAATATTATTCTGACGAGTGAGGAGGTGCGCCTCATGCACCGTGGCAGGACCCAGTAGAGGCCTCAATTGGATCCCAGCCTATGAGGGCCATTTGCAGGGGTTTCGGGACACCAAGAAGACTATTTAGACAAGTCGTCCCGCTGCCCCGATGCCTTTTTGCCTCCCGTTAGAGTTCCTTGTTTACTTTTTAGCGCAACATACCACGCAATGGAGGGCATTCTAACCGCAGAAGCGCCGGGGACTCTCCTCGTGAAGTTTTGTGCTGCGAGCTGGTGTGAGGTACTAAAGCCTTGGTGCGCCAGTACTGTACCGGGGGAATTAGTTCTGCTGATCTCTCGTCTCAGAGATGCGGAGGAGGGCTTTGGACCTCTGCCGACCGGGTGGACATCTGATCAAGTACCCCCTATTTTGCGTCTTGTGAAGTGGTTACGTCATGCTTACCGCAAGGGAAGTACCGATGTATCTCCGTGGAACGAGCGAATTTCCCGCGTTTGGGAAAGTCGCGAGACTAACCTCGAAGGGGCAGAGTCCGTCGGTCGGTTAATGTCTTGCGAGGACGACATTCACGGTGCTAAGGAAGTGGAGTTAGGAAACTTGTGCCAAGCTTTGGACTCCGCTAACGTCAAGATTGAAGGAGTGGATAGCTTCTGGTCTGAAGCTGCTGGTGAGTCTGAGTTGCAAGACGGGCTGCTTAAGCTTTGGCGGATTGGGTACGGGCCTCGGACGTTCGCAGGATTCAGGGAACGTTATGCTTTTTCCTCTCTTCCAGAAAGGCTCATCGCTTTCAAGAAGGAGTTTGTTGCGTCAGCATGTCGTCGTCTAAGCATGGAGGAATGTCTGGGTATGTGCCGTATTTTGGGTGTTCCCGAGGCCCGATTTGCTGGTGCTCCCCTGGGTGTGGTACGGCAATTACTATCGGAGCTACACTCGACCATTCCCACTGCCGAACGAGGGCCTACGTTTGAAGTTCCATCGCAAGCTGCCGTTCACAACGTTGACAATGTGGTTGTGGGACGTACAGAGAGACGGACGGATGTAGCATAACCGCCGACTACTGTACTATATATTAGATTTAGAATTAGATCTAACGCTGTAAGGTACGGACCTTACAGCGTGTGCGCGCGCATACCTTACAGCGCGCGCGCACTAACACGTGTACCCCACGTGTAGCACACGTGTGCTGTAAGCCCCGACGGCTGACAGCGTTGCAGTGCGGGCCGGCCCGCACTGTCTACAGTAAGCCGACTACAGCACAGTCCATACTGTACTGTAGACGGTTAATTAACTTGTACAATAAATATAGGGAGCGACCGCCGGCGGAGGGGACCAGGACAGGCAACCCTCCACCGACAGTCGACCACCCAGCTTACTCTACTCACACCGCCATTCCGCGAGTAGTGACCACCGAGCGGGTAGAGGACGCGCGCGACACCGCGGCGAGCTGCGATCCGCTTCCGCCCGTCAGTACCGGATCGTCAACCGGTACTGCTCCGGGGCGTCGAGGCGTCGATCTACTCGCCTACGCGCGCGTCCCCGCCGACCACGCTCTACCACCCGCTACCGGCCCGCTTCCGGTGGCGTTGGTTGGTTCAAGACCCTCGATACGCCGATCTGGGGTCTTCCGCCGAACATCACGAACATCCCCTCCGCCGGGTGTGGGGTGTTTATGTGACACTGGTCTCCCGACCTAGAAGACCTTCAAGATCACGCCGAGAAGGTTTTCCTTTACCTCCGCGTCCGTACGCGCTGAGATGAGCGCCGAGTACCCGACCTCGATCCGATCCGAGCCGGCGGATGTGCGAGAGGCCGCGCTACGCGTCCAAGTGGGCGACGGCGACGCAGGTCCTCGGGACCGCGAACCGTCGCCCGACCTCTCCGAAGGACGCGCTCGCGCGATGTACGATCGCATCGCCGAGTACATCGAGGATGTCCGGACATCTCTCCGTATCGACGTCTCCGACATCGTCTACGCCCGCTGTATGGAAGAGTTGCGCTCCCTCCGCGAAGGAAGGTTCGAGCGCGTAACTCAGTCCTTGGAGAACCTGCGCGCACTCGTCGACCAGCTACACGCCCGTGTGGCGCTGGTCGAGGACGCGCGCATTGATTCCCCCGCCGTAGAGGTTGCGGGTCGACCCGCGAGTGCAAACTCCGGGGTTCGACGAGACCCACAACCCTTCCCATCTGCCGAACAGATGGGAGCGTTCGCACACATGGCGGCCGAACTTAACTCAACGCGCCGCCGTGCCCGTGAGATGGAACAGACCTCGGCCGAGAGGCCGCCCGGAGCCTCCTCGAGTAGGCCCGGTGCCACTGTTCCTTCGGTCGCGTCCGGATCGCAAGAGTGGCCCCCGGCTGGTGCCGTCACCAGCCGGACGGCGGAGGACATCAAGCCGACGGCAGACGCGAACTTCGCGTCCGAGACTCAAGCCCTGCCGCATGTCCCTGGAAGCATGCGGCAGTCACGACGGGTACCGACCGAACTCGACCAGGGCCGTGGAGGAGTCGCCCGCGGATCAGGGAAACCGATTCTCCCCTTCGATCCTCGCTGGGGCGGCTACCAGCCGAC